TTCATAACAGTTTTGAGTAAGAGAAGATTATATTCTTTACGATGAAAATGTAATTTTTTTAAAGAAATGCCACTTTCTTTTCTAAACTGCCATGGGACCCACTTTTAACTTTCATTTCTCCTCTCTTTCTTTCTCTTCTTCTTTCATGTCTTTTTCTTTCTTCAACAACAAACAAATCTCACTACACATGGATTCATTTTGGCAACGGATGACCTTGAACCGGCAATGTATGATATCCCACACCAACAATACCTACGGTCATGGCTGGACCGATGATGCGTTCACATATGAGGAAGCTAAGACAGACGTTCAATGAATGAGTAGTCGCATTGATGAAAAATACTGACTGAATGGTTGTTTTGTCAACCGTCCCACGACCGCCGAACGTGAAAAGGAGGAAGCTAAGAGAGACGTTCAATGAATGAGACTTATCGTCAAGATGATGGAGAACCTGATAAGGAGGTGAATTTCATCGACCAATCCCACATTTTAAGGCTAACAAACAAGCTAGTTTTGTAGATAAACCCGTAGAAACGCGTGTCCATCGAGTACCCCCACCCGGCCACGATAACAATCTCTCACCTAGGGACGAGACAGACAAACAACCACCAAATGACATGGGACTTGAAAGTCATCAAAATAGTGGCGATTTTAATAACTTCTATCGAAACAGTTTTGAGAACCAACACGTCGACCATGAAGATTAACACAAGCTACCGCCTGCGAATGCCGGAAAGTTTGTAAGGAGCGAAGCAATAAATAAAGTAGCACCAAACAGCCTAGGCTTCCAGATTCAATCGATAAGTGATGATTATGGAGCTAACTGTCGAAACAAAGGTGCTCACCAACGAGACGGATTAGGAGATGAACGAGAGGAGCCTTCTTACCTCCATACTGACACAAACATGAGCCATGGCACCAAGGATAGGACGTCTGGCCAAGTAGAAAATGGTATGGAGAGCATGAACGAAAGTGAAGAAGAAGCCAAGGAGCATATGTAACCTACGTGGCCTCTCATTCCATCAAACAAGGTAAGTTTGGTTTTCGTTATTTCCATTCTCTCTTGATTCATTTTGCAGGAGTTGCCACGTCTTTCTTTTATTTCTTGATTCTAGAGTCCTAGAAAGTCGAATCCAAAGCCTCCAACCTGTGGAGAGGGTTCACTTGTGCGAATGACACAAGTTTCCTTTTTAGTCGTTTTCTTTACATTTATTTGTAGTTGTTTAAGCTTAAGAGATCGAATCTCGACCCTTGAAGGTCACGGTTGACTGACTATTAATAATAGCCAAACTTTTTACCCTAATTAATAAAGCTGAACTTTTCTTCTCTTGCGCCGTTTGCAAGTTAAGAACCTTTGCACGAGTATTCTTGAGTGGCTTCAAGTTGAATCAGTTTGTGTGAGTTTATTATGTGTTATTAAGAGTTACTTATCACCTTATGATCTCATTCATCGGTCGTTTCATTCGTCATACCTTGGTACCATCAAGAGAGAGAGAGAGCGAAGACAAACTCGATACTCCAAATGCCATCTGTTCGTTTACAATGTTGGAGCGTGTATCATTATAGAATGAGAGATGGGAAACGAAGAGACTTAAAGAGTCGGTAAGGCAAATAGAGAGATATGCGGAACAGTAGGAGAGCCTTCTGAGTGAACAGTCATTAGAGCGGTGGCGGAGGCGGTTCAATGGCTGGTTAGCCATTATTTGGGAAACAAAATCCCTGTTGCCCCGTTTATGTTTCTTATTTTATTTACCAAAATTTTTAAATCGAAACCCAATAATAAAACAGTAAACTACAGACCCAACCAAAGTATTTGACCCAATACCAACTGAATGGATTATTCGGCCCATGTAAAATAACCCTAATAGTAAAAAAGAAAAAAATTACAAATGTAAAAACAAAACATGATTCATCCATCTCATCGTGTCCTCAGCCGTTGAGGCTGATTTTGATTTGAGGGAAAGTCTGGGTTTGTGTTCCTTTCCTTCGTTTTTCTTCTTTTCCGAGAATGGAAGTCTCTTTGTCTGTCTCGTCGTTATTTTTCCCGGCATTAACAGGCCATTGATTCAAGCGAACGCTTCATATTCTTTCTCTTTTTGGTAAGATCTGTCAATTCTTTCAATCTTCTTAGTCGAAATTGGCATTACTTGTGTTGTTTTGGTTGTTATCCCGTAATTTATTGTGTTTTTGGTTGAGTGTGCTGGGATATTGCATAATCCAATTTGTTTTGTTTTGGTATGTTGTTTTATTGGTTCTTAGAAGAAATTGTTCATGTTAGAAGTGGTCGTAGAGTGTATGGCACATCAGAAATTCGAGAAAAAGATCTAGAAGCAAAAGGTGATGGAGAGAAAGAGAAGAGAATGTCAAATGAAGATGAATGAGAGAAGGCAACTGTTAGTAATGAGGAAAAAGAGAGTGAGCAAGAAAAATTGGGTTATGAATTAGAAATGGCTGAACCGGAAGTAGATTATGGGAATGGAGATGATGGAGAGGAAGATAATAAAGATGAAGATGATGGTGAAAATGGCGAAGAGAAATCTTTTGCTGATGGAGAGGAAGATAAGAGAATATCAAATGAAGGTGATGGAGAAAAGAAACTGTTAATGAAGAGATAGAGGAGACTGAGCATGAAAATTAGGTGATGGACTAGAAGTGGCTGAAACGGAAGAAGATGATGGGAATGGAGATGATGAAGAGGAAGATAATGAGGATGAAGAAGATGGGGCTTAGAAATTGTAGTTATAGAGTTGTACAACTTAGGATTTTATGTTCTTTGGTAGAAATGTAGATAACTAAATCAGCTAAGTAAATGACGATGATGATGAAGACCAACCAATGCAGCAAGAGATGATGTTCTTTAGTTCGGCTGAATACACAAAGAGTTGTAAATTAGGAACAAGGTGTGATGTGACACAGACAGTGAAGTACATTGATGAATTTGAAACATAAAGGAAATGGTTTAGAGATCATCCTAAGTTTAAGCATATCTTTCATATCCCTCAGTAGCCCAATCACATGTATCAAGGTATGTGAATGCTTCTCCTTTGCACAGCTTGTACGGATATGGACAGAGAATGTTGGTTTGTGGTGAATGGAGTGCCGATTAGGTATTCCTTAAGGAAACATGCACTCTTAACCGGTTTGGACTACCATGAATATCCGATCAGTTACAAGGATGACAAAGCGTAGACTTTTAAGTTTGTATAAAAGGTGTTTAAAAGGAGTGGTAAAATGAAGAGCAGGAGAAGTAGTGAGTCCCGCAAGAGGATGTTAATCTAGTATTTCTTAGCTAAGGTAGTTATAGAAAAGTCGAAGGCTGATGGAAACATAGATCCATTTCTTTTAAGTGCTGTTGATGATTTGGATGCTTGTGAGAATTTTCCCTGGGGACGTTATTCTTTCAATGAATGAGTGAAAATGATTCGGATAGTGATGAACAACACGAAGGGATCCGTGAAACCAAATGCGCACATCACTTTTTCTGGATTCATTATTCCTCTAGAGGTAACATTCATATTTTAATTTGAATTTTATGTAATTGATAGTTGATTTTACTAATTGGATATTACTATGTGTAAATTATGGCATTTGAGTGTATTTCACATTTTCGACGATTGTACAGCTGATGAAGGGATAGGATTGATAGATCCCATTGTTGATAGTTGGAGAGAACAACTTATCGTTAAGAAGAAGAAGATATTGTGGAAGGATATGTACCAAAGAGACTTACAAATCAGAGTCCAGGTGTTTCGAGACACCTCAGCCCATTGCTCATCAATCAGGAGAATTGGCTCTTTATACTGGTATTGTCACAGCTCTTGTAGAAGAAGAAGAAGAAGAAGATGATGATGAGAAAAGAAGTGGAGAAAGAAAGCCATCATCCTACACACATTAAATTTTCAGCATAAACACAATATTATCACTCAAATCTATTACATAATATCATCCTTACCTCATAAACTGGACATTTGTAGTATTTTTGGCCTGGATTCTCCCAAGTGGTTGACACTTGAGGGCGGATTTGTTTACCACAAAAACAAATATATGGAATTCCAAATTTTCCCGTGTTGCTATCAATACTTGCAACTGTGTCTGAACTCTAACTGTGACTAATTGGCATTATCCCCTCCTAAAGAATATGAAAGACAATTGAAATCTAAAAATCTAAAAATCAGATTAACCTAGAATTACTGAAATTCGACTTAATGTTGTTGAAGATCTCTAAGAACCCAGATGTCGCGAACCCATCTCCTTCGCCTACTCGCTCTGATTAAGTCGATTTAGTTTTTTTGGGTAGAAAGTCGATTTAGTTTTTTCTCTAAACCCTAAATCCCTTTTTATAAGAAGAAGGAGAGAAGGATAAAAGAATCCTCAGGATAAAAGAACAAATAAGAAAAATACAAAATTCTATTAAATATCATCCCACATGTAGCTTACCTTTGACTCTTTAACCTTCAAATAAAATATTAGATAATAGGCGGCAACAGTATATGTGAGATAGTTGTACCGACATGTACAGTTGTACGTTCTTGTCCATAGTTGGACTCTAATAGAATTTGGGACATACCGTTGGACACATTATGTCATTGTAGTTGGACTTGAAGATAATTATAATTTTTCTAATTGGACACATTATGTTACATCATTAACTATGATTTTAAAGGTTTTCATAAGAAAATATTATGAAAATTATAATTTTCAACTCTTTTATAACAAATTGGGTGACTGAGACTATGACTAAACTTTGTTCCTTTGGTAATCGCAACGTCCTGCGACTAAACGCTGCGACTGATAGCAACTACGTCCGACTGGAATTTTTAATCGTATGAAAATCAGCGATGCGATTTTAAAATCTGCGATTAAAACGTAAATGACAAAAATACCCTTAGATTATTGTAAGAATTACAAATTTGCTAACCCTAGATCTTTTCTCGATTCATATCGTTCTTCACTTCTTTGTCTTCTCCTCTTTCATCTTTCTTCTTGCTCTTTCAAAAACCAAAGCTGAAGAAGTTTGTCGCACTTGTGTTCGTCGAGAATCTCAGGAGCAGACATTTAATCATTTGAGCTCATCAAGTTAAAACAGTGTAAACCTTTCTTCTCTTCTTTTCTTTAATTCTGTTTCTTCTCCTTGGTTTTGTTTTCCAATTTTGCTATCTGATTTTATACAAAAATTTCAGTTTTTTCCAAAGAATATTGAATACCCATGATTCAATATTTCAATTTTTATGCAACTGATTCCTCAATTTGATGTTTTCGTGGTCTTAGAGAGGCAAAGAGTTTTGAAAAAGAAGATCTTTGGTGGTCTCAGCAAGTTGGAAACAATATTCAAAAAGAAGATCTCTGATTTGGATCTGCCTTCGACTTGGTTAGTTTTTGGATATGTATTTGGATTTGTGTTAATTAGTATTTGATTGGTTATGTTTACAGTTTGATTAGTTTTGAGAAATGAGGGATGATGAAAAGAGATAACTGATGAGCTTGTATGATTAAGAAGTTTGATTAGTTTAGATTAGATAAAATGAGTGGGAAGAGCTGGTTCTGGTCTGGTTTGTATGAGTGAGTCAATTTACACTTTGGTGGATTCATGGTAGAGAGAAAGAGCAAACAAAGATTCTGATCTCTGTGTGTGAATCTTAATAAGTAATGGTAGGAGAAAGAGAGAAGAGAGAAGAGAAGCGTTGAGATGTGCTAGGCTAACAATAGGTCTACGTTTGTATTTGTATTTAATTAGTAATTTGTTTTGTTGTTGTTGTTGTTGTTGTTTTATTTGTCCTAGACTAAGTTTTATGGTGTTATGTGTTGTTGTTGTTGTTGTTGTTGCTAGTCTAACAATAGAAGTCTATGTTTGCAATTTGTTTTGGACTGGTTTTGGAACTAGGTTATAACTGGTTTGTAAATGAAACAAAAAAAATATAATTTGATGAAAACTGGTTTGCTTTTGTCGATACTATTCAACTAGTTATTACACTATCTAAGAAACGTTAGCTCATTGATTGGTGTAAACTGTGCAATGAGTTCATATTCTTCTTTTGATTTGTTAGGCTATATCAAGGATCACAGCTAAATAACAAGGATGACTAATGATGTAAGTTCTCTTTTATCTCTGATTTTTAATTGATTTTGTGACTGTTTCTTGGTAGCTAGTTTAGTGGCTGATGTGTAGTTACACTTTAGAATTGGATGATGAGCAATGTAGATACTTTTTCATCTATATACGGAAGAGAAAAATATAGGAAACAAAACAAAAGCTGGAATTAATTAAACTGGAAAAGAATTTATAGTAAAAAAGTTTGAAGAGCAATATGGTGAAAGACACACATGGCAAACATTGAAAAACAAGTATGATACTTGTAGAAGAATACATCTCTGGTATAAGAAGTTAACTAGCTTCACTGGAATTGGCTATGATGATTTTGGGGGAATCAATATGTGATATATCATAGTTTTTACGGGTTTTTGGCTATGATATAAGTCTTATTTATAGAGCTTTTATAGTGTTTTTGAGTTGCAGTCATTTCAGGATTAGGAGCTATTTGGCATGGATTGAAGCTTTTTAGAGCATTTGGGAGCATTTGGAGAAGATGTGCCGAAGGAACGTACCGGGAGAGCATATTTGGTGTGAGTGTCGAGCATCACAACTTCTGGTGTCGATCGACACCAATATCTGACGGCAATTGAATTTCACGATTAATTGAAGTTCAGAAGATTTGCAGATTCAGCCCAGAAGTTTCCCTTATTTGTAATTAAGCCCAGTTCGTGGTTAAGACATATATATTGAGTTTTTAGGGTTTTGTTAAGACTTAAGTTTTATTTTGGGAGAGAGACATTTGGAGAAAGCTGGGAGAGGAGAATCAAAACCTCCTTCAGAGAAGATTCAGAACTCCTTTACTTCTTATATTACTTTCCTTTATGATATCTATTTTATTCATGATGTTTGTTTCATTCACCATGTCTGAGTAGATCTCTTGTTAGGTTTAGGGTTTTCAAAGGAATTCATGAATTGTTAGGTTGTTAGGATTGAATCAATAGAGTTCTTCATCTAGATTGTGGTTAATTTGTTATAGAGTAGTGAAAGCAACCTAGAATCTGATCTTAGGTTAATTGGTAGACACGAAAGTGTTATTGATTTCCTGAAAACAATCTAGATGAGCAAAATACCTATTCACAAAGAGATTTGGTTTAGGGATTTTGTGAACTTATCAAACATGAATTAAATGCATGTCTGAACTTATAAATTTGCAAAGAGATTTGGAATTTAGGGTTCTAGACATAGATAGTCTTTGCAACGAAAGTTGATTGATTATGCTTTTGTGATTTGAGTTCAAGAACGGTGCTTTATAAATCCTGACAATTATTTATTTGCAATTCTGAATTTCCTAAGAATATTCATGATCCTAGCGTTTTCTCATATTGTTTTAAAAACCAATCTTTATTTTAATTTGCTGTTTTTAATATTGAAACCTTGCTTGCTTAGCTTAATTTTAATACCGAATATTTACTGTGTAATCGTTGAGTCTCTGTGGATTCGATCCCTAAGTACTACAGTGATCTCTTAATTGAGAGAGTAGCTCAGGGCAAATTTGAGCCGATCAATATGTATGAAGATTGGTGGAAAGATCGCATAGCACTAAGTTTCAATTTGCTTTTAACTTCAGTTTGCTTTTAACTACTTAGCTTCAATTTTAGTTAGCTTTTAATTTCAGTTTGCTTTAGTTTCAGTTTGCTTTAGTTTGCTTTAGTTTGCTTTAGCTTCAGTTTTAGTTCAAGTTATAAGTTTCTTCTACAATTTTGTTATAGGAATGGTCAGGTGCGAGAAATTATAAAAACAGATGCTCCCAAACATGGACATCTATCACGCTGATTTTGGTGCTATTTCTATCAGTGGAGCAGAAGGATGGAGCGCACAAATTAGATAAGCAAGTTTAGATTCTATTCTAGAGTGGGTGTAGAAGAGGATGAAAGTGATTCACCATTTCATGTGGCAGCAGTTGATCATCTATTAGCGAATGAAGCAAACCGACGGGGATTTTGAGCATTTTCTAGTGAAGAAGACAAGATTAAATATCTATAGCACAGGACTGGAACAAAGATTTATGATTGATTTATTATTTTTGTCTTAACATTTTGAAGTTTGAATCTATATAAAAGTTGAGCTGTTTTTCTATACAGATTTTGTTTTGGTTAATAAAACTAGTTTATGTTTATTATTACAGATTCTTAATTGGCTTATGGATAAGGATGATGATGATGATTTGTTTGACATGGTTAATGCCGAGAGAGTGATTCATAGAACAGATCGAGGTGCAGGATGGCGTCATGTTCAACAACTTATGCATCGATCAAATCACCAATGCTATGATATTCTAAGGATGAATCAAAGAACGTTTGAAGATTTATGTGGAATGTTAACTACACAATACGGGTTACAAGAGACTCACAATGTTTATGTTGAGGAAGGTGTTGCAATGTTTCTGGAGTTGGTTGATCAAGATAAGACAATACTGATTATTGTTCAAAGATACCAACGACCATTGGACACAATAAAAAGGAAGGTTGATGAAGTTTAGAGTGTTCTCCTTAGGTTTGCAGCAGATACACTAAAGCCGCGAGAAGATGAATTTGCAAGAGTAAGTTCAGTTTTGAGGAATGATGATCGATATTGGCCTTATTTTAATGAATCTATTGGAGCACTTGATGGAACTCATATCCCAATTCATCCTCCCAGTGCAAATGCAAAAGCTTACAGAGGAAAAAAAATGGAACCTACAATTTAATGTCCTAGCTATATGTAACTTTGAAATAAAGTTAATATATGCATATGTTGGTGTACCAGGAAGAGCACACGATACAAAAATATTCACTTATTGTGCAAAGAATGAAGCTTCTTTTCCACATCCGCCAAATGGAAAAAATTACTTAGTTAATTCTGGATATCCTACTAGGACTAGCTATCTTGGTCCTCATCGTAGAATTAGATATCATCTGGATCAATATGTTAGAGGAGGACCACCAACGAACACCCGTGAATTATTAAACCGGAGACATTCAGGTTTGCGAACAGTGATTGAGCGGACATTTGTAGTATGGAAAGCGAAGTGGAGAATTTTAGATAGTAAACATCCAAAATATGGAATGACTAAGAGGATAAAAATTGTAACAGCAACAATGGCACTACATAACTTCATACGCGATTCACATCGAGATGATTCTGATTTCGTGCGCTCGCTGAGAACGGAGGAATATCATAGCCATGGTAATGATGATGAAGACGATGATGATGGTGGTGGTGCTAGTGGTAGTGGTGGTGCTGGTGATGATGATGATTATGATGAGGATGGTGATGGTGGTGGTGGTGGTGGTGGACATGTTTTATATGAGACGATCAATGATAGAGTTATGGAAGGTATACGTGACACCATTACAAGTGAGATGAGTAGAGGACGCCGACTAACTTATTAGGTATTAATTTAATTTTTTAATCTTGTTTCATTTGGCATGTTAACCTGGTTGTACGATTACAAAAAAAGAATCCAAATACGTTGTACCCTGTGAAATAATAAAAATGCAGTGCAATGCAAACACACAAATTAAGTTTAAGTCTGCAACCAATTCTTCAAGTTTATGCCAGGCTGGGACTAGTTCTTCCTCTTTCGATTACGTTCTCCCACGGATGCAAACTGTGTTTCTTGATTTCTTCCATTTTTTGGAGTGTACTCTGACGGTAAGGCAACTAGTTCACAAATTTCAACAGGAATACGACAACTTGACTCATGGGGCACTACAACTAAAAATCATCTGGATCATTATGTTAGAAGAGGACCACCAACGAAAACCCGTGAATTGTTAAACTGGAGACAATTAGGTTTGCGGACAGTTATTGAGCAGACATTTGGAGTATGGAAAGCAAAGTGGAGAATTCTAGATCGTAAACATCCAAAATATGGATTGATTAAGTGGATAAAGATTGTAACAGTAACAATGGCACTACATAACTTCATATGCGATTCACAGCGAGATGATTCTGATTTCGTGCGCTGGCTAAGAACAGAGGAATATCATAGTCATGGTAATGATGATGAAGACGATGATGATGGTGGTGGTGCTAGTGGTAGTAGTGGTGCTGGTGATGATGATGATTATGATGAGGATGGTGATGGTGGTGGTGGTAGTAGTGGACATGTTTTATATGAGTCGATCAGTGATAGAGTTATCGGAAGGTATACGTGACACCATTACAAGTGAGATGAGTAGAGGACGCCGACTACCTTATTAGATATTAATTTAATTTTTTAATCTTGTTTCATTTTGGTATGTTAACCTGGTTGTACGATTAAAAAAAAAATCCAAATACGTTGTACCCTGTCAAATAATAAAAATACAGTTAAATGCAAACACACAAATTAAGTTCAGGCTGCAACCAATTCTCCAAGTTTATGCCAGGCTGGGACTTGTTCTTCCTCTTTCGACGACGTTCTCCCACGGATGCAAATCATGTTTCTTGATTTCTTCCATTCTTTGGAGTGTACTCTGGCGGTAAGGCAACTAGTTCACGAATTTCATCAGGAATACTACAACTTGACTCTTGGGGCACTAAATAGATGGTCCTGTAATAGGCCAATGCCCATGTCGCTATCAAGTAATATTCCGAGCATAGCTCAAAGATTTGAACCTTATTACTTATTTCTTCATTCCTCATCAGATTCTTTCTTGCAGCAGTTGCATGAACACACAGATACTTGTCTGTATCAAAACATCAACAAGAACAACTTTTCATCTTTAAGTCCACTAAATGCATCTTCCCGTCAACTTCTATAACACTATAGTAGAGGTGGTAGATGTTTAGCTCTTTAATGCTTAAACGTGCCGCAGGTTCACAACGATCATGCAATAAATTCTCCACGTAAGGCACTAGTTTCTTCGTGTTAGATGCAATAGCATCGTCTTTTCTATGTTTTTTAAACCACTCTGAAGAATTTTCAAGAATTGCATCAATCATAGGCAATAGAGAGTACTTCCTGGCATTCATAAACACATTGTTCATTGATTCTACAGCATTGCTACTGTCGATGTTGTACTTGTCTC